AGGTGGGCACGGGGTATCCAGAGACTTTTCGGGGGCCGTGCGCATGGGGTCGGGAGCCCATGGGCACAGGGGTGGCTGAAATTTCATGATTTGAACCACATATTTGAAGGGGAAATGAAAAATTGGGGGTGGATTTCGTGGTAGGGAGATGGGGAAGGCCAAGATCTACTTGCCAAACAACAAAATCGTGGATCAAACACAACAAAATCTCACAAGAACCAACAAATGGCCAAAAAAATGGTGAGACTATTTTTGGTGGGGATTTTCGAATTGGGACAAAAACAAACAAAATTAGGTTACAAAATGAAGGAGGGAGACTCCAAATTTGCGAGAACCTAAGCTCTGATCCAAGATGATGTAGGGTGGAGACCCTAATTGGTGATCTTTCACGAATTGGAGGGGAAATCCACGAAGAACACCGGGAAGAACGTGGAGAAATCACAAGAGGAACACTCAAGAACAAGCCCAATCACACATCCACTAGATTAACAAACACATAAGATCCATGAGGTACATGAACAATCAAAGGGAACAAGGATACATGGTAAGGTTCATCCCAAATCCAAGAGGAAATGAGGTCTTGATGATCTAGAGAGATCCTTCGCCCATAGGAGGTCTTGATGATCCTATGATGGGGATCCTTCTCCCTTAGGAGGTCTTGATCCAAGGAAGAGGTAGATGAGCAAAGCCCTCTCTAAATCATATCATATCCTTTGCTAACCTAACAAATGACCTAGGTACGGAATATATAGGTGGCTGGAGGTGAGGGACAAAGTGGAAGGGCACAAGGGGCATTCCCCGTTCAGCTCGCAGGCAGGCCCATGCGCACGGGCTAAAGTACCCCCGTGGACACGGGGCCCCGTGTGCACGATACAGGCCCGTGCGCACGGGGAGGTCAACAGCTCCAGCGGGTGCCTGTGCGCATGGGGTCTAGGGGGCCCGTGCGCACGGGGTATCCAGAAAGTCTCTGGATAGCTCGTGCGCACGGGGTCCAGAGGGGCCGCGCGCACGGGGTCGTTTGTGCGTCACTTCTTCTTCCAGCTGCTGGGCTCCTCCTTCCATGTGCCCTTCTAGCTCCTCTTCTCGGACTTCGCGAGGTTCCTTAGATCCTTGGCGGGGGTCGTCCACGTACCTAAAGACACATGTGGTTCCACGATGAGGTAGTAACCAAGTCCAATGGATATTCATGCCAAGCTCGATTGAGTTGATGTGCAATGGCACATGCATGAGCTCTCATGCTAGGTCCACTTGGGGCTTGGGGAGATGTTGAGGTGTACATGGAGATGACCGTAGTTAATTACCAAAACAAGGCTAAAACTGATACACCTGCCTCGTTGAGCGTCACGAAACATGATAGTCTCAAGGTCACCATTAGCCGACCGAGCACACGACAGAAACAGCACATACACTCCATCGAGGATAAAAATACAACTAAGATAGCACACATCGTCATCGCTCCTCGAGCAAGTGACTCAAACTTTGTTACCGACAACAACAGCCATGTGAAGCCGTACTAAGAAAAAACAATCAATAGGCCACAAAGGCTAGTGATAGGACTCAAAACACGTCGAGGACAAGGCAGCTCCGACTTCGACGATGAGCCTCATATCAGAAAACTGCAAACTTTGTGCTGGAGATCGTCATACAAGAGAACCGCCTTTCTCGAGGCATCGTTGCCGCAATGTTGGCCGCAACACCTGTAGCTCTGACTTCACCGCTACACGACAAAAACATTGCACAGACAACCCAGAAGACCGACAAGCAATCAACGATAGAGGTCATACCGCGACCCAATTCCGCTCGTCACCACCATCATTGCCACACAAGTCGCTCAACTCCATCATCTTTGCTAGATGACGCCAACAAAGCAGCCTCAAACTATTGGACCCACCAGCCGGATCCGGCTTCGAGCCAATGCGCCCAAGAGGTAACACAACACTGAGTGTTATCAATGTCCGATCTTGTCCTGGTATTTTCTTGACAATATCCATCTAAGGGTAGCGCAAGTGTCGGAGATCCGGATGGTGCACACGAGGAAGATTCACCCAAGTTCAGGCCCTTCGATCGAGGTAATATTATAATTCTTGCTTGTCTGTATCGATGATCTCGCCTCGTATGAGAACTAGGGTTTGTATCTACAAAGGTTTCGATCGCAAGATCATATATGGGCTTTGTCATAGATG